CCGGTAACTTTCTCCTGGGGAGATGCTGAGAATATCACCTTTGCTGCCAGTCAGGGCCAAGACAGGCTTGTTAGCAGCTTGTGACAGCCCTACTTTGCTTTGTGGGTATTTTAAATGAGGGTAGCAGAGCTAGAGGAAGAGGTGATAACGTCTGTGCTGGCTTTTTTTCTTGTTAGGGGGGTGGCAGAGGAGGAGATAGGACTAATTGCATACCTTCCAATTCCAGTTACTTCATTACAGAATAATCATTGGAGCAGCCCTGCAATCTGCTCTGATAGCAGATAAGTGGTGTGGCTCCAAGCACTTCAATCTAAACAAAACTTAAGTGCTTTTTTCCTTTTTCCCTGGAGTGAAACTGTAATTTCGTTTTGTGAATGTTCGCCAGGACGGAGTTGTTTTTGCAGCTGTCATGAAGCTTCTCTGGGCTTTGTGTGTGTTAGAGGTATGTCCCCAGTGTATGTAGCAAAAATATCCCAAAATACTGCATTCCCTTACCTGGCAGCTTCGGTTGAAGGCTCTCCAAGTGTTTGCCAGGTGAAGATTTGTTTAGCATTGACGTTGGGTGTCTCAGAGGGTTTAGATATAAACCAGTGAAGGTTTGGATTATATTCCTTTCTGTAGCAATATATGCTAATTAAGTTCTCTGTCTGCATTAGGCCCTGAAATAGTTGAGGTGAAGAGCCTGAGCACATCTCTGCTGCTTCAGAATATGAGAGTGGTCTCATTGACAAATTGTGTCGTTTCGGTTCTGTGGTGTAGAAATGGTGTTTAATGCAATCTGTGTGATGTGAGAGAGAATGACTGGGCAGAGCTTTAGAGAGGGATTTTGTCTTTCTTTGAAATGGGATAAAAATGTGTCTGTGCACCAGGCTGAATCCTGAGAAACCACAACGTCCTGGAATGGTTTGGGTTGGGAGGGACCTTAAAGCCAATCTTGTTCCATCCCCCTGCCACGGGCAGGGACACCTTCCACTAGCCCAGGTTGCTCCAAGCCCTGTCCAACCTGGCCTGGAACATTTCCAGGGATGGGGCAGCCACAGCTTCTCTGGGCAACCTGTGCCAGTGTCTCCCAAAATACCTTCTTGGAATTGATGTTGATGACTTTGAGGTACCGGCTGAGGGCCATGAGAGCACTGCAGACAAGTGCCTGGATTCTGCTCAGTGCAGTACTGGCCAAACCATAAACTTCTGTCAGGCTCATTTTTTTTTTATTTTTATTTTTTTTTTCTGGACTGCCACGGAACTGTTAAATCTGATCTGTTCCTAAAAAGACAGCTGACTGTGCAATCTGAGCCACATAAAATTCTTTGTCTCCGCTTTGGACTTGAATGGAAAAGTAGTTTGTTTTCGCATTAAATCGACCTCAACTGTCGCTGCCCCAAAGGGGGTCTGTTCTTGCAGGCTCTGCCTGGATGAGTGCTCTTGGCTCTTGCTGTGTTTCAGTGTAAGCCTGCTCACTCAGATCAGGACAATTGGGAGGGTGCTAACACACCGAGACAGATACTTGTTAGCAGGTTAAATGTTCTGGGAAAGAAAATGGAGTAACGCTTTTTACAGGTTAATAGTTTTGGTAAGTTTGGGCTTGGTTGTGTTGGTCGTAACTTGGCTGACAGGGTTGATTGTGTAGGTCCAGCTGCAGCTTTAAGAGCTCTTGGAATAAATAAGGTGAAGTGATGGTGAATTTCAAAGGATTAAAGAGTATGAGGCCCATTTAATGGGGTCTTATATTTTTAAGGTGGCTTTCAGGGGGAAAGGCCCAAGCATGCTTTGCAAAGGGACCTGTTCATCATGTGCTGTAGTGGATCCAGGCTTTGGTAAGAACAGTGTGGCTTCTTTTAATGACATGAACTGCATCACCTTTTTTTAATTAGGTATTTATTTATTTGTATAATATATAGGGGGGGAAATACTTCTTTCCTGTGCTGTGCAGGTGACCACACACTGGAACAGATTGCCTAGAGAGGCTGTGGAGTTTCCCTCATTGGAGGTGTTTCAGAACCCTCTGGACGCAATCCTGTGCCGTGCGCTCTGAGATGATCCTGCTTGGGCTCTCTGACCCCCAGCCTGCTGTGGAGACCAACCCAGAGCGATCTTTGCCACAGTTTCCTTGGGAAAATATTGTAGAATATGAGTCCTGTGTGGCAGTACCACAATGCCTTTGTAGGGAAAAGAAGGCAGAAGATGGTCTGTGGTATGACAACTTTTGTGTTGGCCAGCCTGCTCCAAGGGTAATGTAGATGGAAAGGGACTTGCCTGTGAACAGGAGGTTCAGCTGGGTAGTCAGGAAGGGTCTGCAAAGCACAGCTCCTTCCTGTGAGAGGGCAGAGCTCCTCCACCTGTAAACACCGTGACATACAGCAAGATTTTGGCAGTCTTTTGTGTTGACATGAACTGCTGGCTCTTAAAACGGTGTCTCTCACAGATGTCTCAAACCCACAGCGGTAGTTGTTGTGTGTGCTGTTGTGTTCCCCTTCTCCAGTAAAAAAAGCTAATCCTACCTTCTCAAAACGGTCCATTTACCTTCCCGGTGCCGTGCTCGGTGTTTTTTGGAACTGGTCTTCAGTCTGTGCAGGTTGACAAGGCTCTTGTGACCGTCTGGGGAGGGTGAGTTGACTTACTCGTGCTCCGCTCCTTGTCTTGAAGTGTGTTAACTGAGCTTCCACGGCAGCCCCCCAGCCTTGGCTCTTCTCAGGCCTCTGTTTACCCCTAAATGGTTGTGCTGTGTCTCGGTGCTTCCTTCCTCTCCTCCTTGTGTTTGACTCAGGGCTTTGATGGCCCCTCTGGAGCATCACGTGGGGGCTGGGACCGGCGCACGTGATTGGGGCAGTAGATGGGGACTGTCCACAGGTTTTTGCACATTGATGTGTTCATGGGCTGGGACGGCTGCCCTGGGACTTCTCGTGTGCTTCCACTTCCAGTACTTAGTTACCCTCCATCCTGACTGTTGAAAATGAATTGAAGGCAAATTATCCTTTGCTGGATATCCTTTTCTAGGGGAAAAAAGGTTTAATGAGCATCTGAAGGGCCACAATCCTCTGGATTGTGTGTGGTGTCATGTGGCTGTGAGCAGGTTTTCCTTATTGCAGGAGCTGGATTTATTCCTGGGGGCTGGATAGCATCTGATTTTTATGTGAGGGAGGGGGGGAAAGCTGCCTGACTTTAATCTGAATTTACTAGGTAGTTAATAAGAAAGACCTCTGCCCTGAGAAACTCGCTCAGCTGATGTTGTGTTGCAGGAGCTCCATGGAGATGAAGCCTGCTGGCTTTATTTTGCTCTGAAAATCCCTTTGGCTTAAAGCTGCTTCCAGAATCTCATCCTTAGTGGTACTTCAGGCTTGTGACAGGGGAACCTGCTGGGTGTTAAGGGGGCTGAGACTGGGG